CCTTCACCGCTTTCGCCTTCTTGTTCATCTGCATGGCGTACGTTCACTGTGCGCAGTTAGTTTCAGATATATATTTAATAAACTTTATTTACCATCTTATTATTTAGTAAGGAGAATCTAACATTTCTTTTGGAAGGTCAATTCTGAAGACCTTTTTCAGGATCGTTTTTTTTATCGATAATCAAATCAGGAAGCGCTACAGCGATAATTTCCAATAAAACACGGTAAAAATATATCATTATTTTGCGTTTATTTAGCGTTGATGGATGTGCGGTAAAATCCAGCACATGTCTTTTGATAGCATGGCTGTAATCACAACATACTCAAAGAACTCAATTTAAATATCCACCCCAGAGAGTTGAACAAGAAAGCAAACATTATGTCCACTGCAATCACATGTGAAATAATGAGAGAGAGAAGAAGGGAAAGAATAACACAAATCCCGGAAGTAAAACATGTGATGGGCCACAGTGGCAAAATAGGAAATGAGCAAGCTGACAAAGACGCCAACAAAGGCCACATGGCCCCACTGCTGACACAGAACATGCATGCCTAGTCATGTGTGCAATTCATCCTTAAAGCCAATGGGAATATAATTTAAGGTGCCTACAGAAACAACATCAAAGAAGTTACCACATGAGGTCCAAGACTTAGTTGATTTGGGACTCACCTTCACTGTAATCCAATGTGGGCACAAGACAACCTCACTGTTCACCAGCAAAAAACTTAGCCACTACTGGAAACACCTGATAAATGCAGGGGGGTGGGACTCCGAAAATTCCGGACAAATAAATGTGAAATGGTTGTCTTCAGCACTGCTGCACCAGACACTGGAGCCTCCAATTGGTCTCAAGACTTCAAAATGTCCTAGTGGCATTGCTAATCTTGCCCCGGGCCGAGGCAGAGCCTTCGGTAGGCACCGGGAGGTTTGAGGTGAGTCATTTGATGTTGGTAGATGTGCAAATCTACCAATCCAAAATTTTCAGTCCTGCCCCCGTGTGATAAATGTGACACACAGACAGTTCCCAACCCAAAAGGAGATGAGACAAAGATACCAAGATCTATACCCAGACAGATGCTGTAGGGTATGCCTTACGGATGAGGAAGAAACCAACAAACATCTATGGAACTGCCCGGTACTGCAGGAGATCAGAGAAGAAATCATGACCAACTTCATTGAAACACTAAGGGCCCGGTCCAAGTACAAAATCGTCGATAAAAGTCGTCGCGAAAAATATTTTTGTCATTTTGAAGTTTTCGCGACGATCGTCGCTACTTGAATCGCAGAAAAGCACAAACGTCACAGTTCTGATGGACTCAGTCACTCTTGCAGCCACCGCCGGATCGCTTTTTTTTATTCTTGCGTCAGTGGCAATCAGCACAGCAGCAGTTGTAGCCAGTGACCATCAAGACGGTCGATCCAATCCAGCCCCTCGTACTCGACTCTGGTCCATCCGCAATAACACTTGGGAAACAGTAAATGGTGATGTTCGCTATAGCCAAGGCTGGTTTCGCGCCAATCTTCGATGCTCTCAGGCATCATTCGACGTCATTGCGGCACGAGTAAAACACGTGTGGGCTGAATACAACAAACCCCTCGGGAAAAACGTAATATTCTCGATTGAGGAGCGTGTTGCAGTGACAATTTACTATCTTGCAAGTGGAGGAACAATGAGAAACGCAGGGAGCTTGTTTGGCATGTCAAAATCAAGTACAGTTCGGTATGTGCGCCAGGTGGTCAAGGTCTGCGGATTCTTTCAATCTGTATTCTGAACTGAGTGTTTCAGATTGATAATACTTCGGATTGATAGGTGCTGAAGCGTCATTATTTGAAAAGAGATATTCGGCTGCCAAACACAGTTGAACAGTGGAAAGCAATTGCTAGCGGATTTGAGGCAAAAACAGGATTCCCATATGTACTCGGTGCAATCGATGGTTCCCTCTTCAGCATATTCCGATTCTCCAATCATCAAGGCTGGTATTGCCAAAAATTCTTCCCGGCTTTCAACCTACAGGCCATCGTTGACCATCGAATGCGGATTATGAGTTATTCTCTACGCTCAGGAAGCTCAAGCGACAAAGGCCTCTTCAATAGTTCAGAGTTTGGAAGAACTATTACCCGTCTCATTCCAAATGGTCACTTCTTTCTTGCTGATGCTGGGTACAAACTGCTGCCTCACATCTTGATCCCTTATAAAATCTATTGGGGAATGCCAACTGAGGAATCTCACTTCAACTATGCTCATAGCAAGACAAGGATAGTTGTAGAGCAAGCTTTTGGTCTCTTGAAATCGCGTTTTCGTATCTTCAAACGGAATCTGGATCATTCATCACCGCAAGCCATGGCTGACATCATTCTTGTCTCACTTCTTTTACATAACTGGCTCATTGAGCTGGAAGATGATTGGGAGATTCCTGCTGGTGAAAACGTTCAAGATTGGATGGAAATGAATGATGATTTACCTCAAACATTCTGTAACAGCAATCAACCTGGGGATGGAGAAGCAGTGCGAAAGCGAAATATTGTGAAGGGTATTTTAATGAGAAAGAAGGAACAACAACAATAAAAAGAATCTATCCAAAAGCAGCATAAAACAAAAACCAGCTAGCCGCTACGAAGCCGTTGCAGCAACAGTTCATTGATTTCAGCTTGTTGCTTTTGAGCCTTTGCACCCTTGTCTAATCTTTGGAGAATGGCTTCCAGTGTTGATTGTACAGCAGAAGTTGTCGTGGAAGTCTCCGGAGCTTTTGAAATCTCAGCAGCTCGAACAATGCTCTCTGATAGCTTGGTAACTGCAGAGTCCATAGATCTCCCAATCGACTCAATCGACTCAGCTGATGTTGGCTTCTTGGATGCAGAGGAGCGGGATTGGCAATCATAGCTGACTTGCAATTGCTTTAAAGCCTGTTTACGCGTCATGGCAGCAATTGCCTCTGAAGAAGATCCGCGATTATAGCTTGTTTCACCATCACCATCACTATTATCCTCATGGTCCCCGTCATTTTCATTGTTATTGTCATCAAAGGCATGATCCTCCAAGACATTGCTATCACGGCCTGCTTTGTTGTCATCATCAATAGCTTGAGAGTCCCCGTAGCTAATATGTGCTCCTCCAGCTTCTCCCTCACAGTATTCCTTGAGCTCCTCCCAATATTCCGGAAGATCCGACTCAGCCTCACACTCACATTCGGATTCTTCACAATGGCAAAAACAATTTCCAGTTTGCTGAATTTGTCCACAAATCAAGGAATGCTCCTTCCTTAATGAAATAAGCTTTGTTTTGACATGTTCCCCAAGAACAAGCTGATTCTTAAGGTCACCTCCGGTAGCAGTCAAATTGACTTCATCCGCCATTTTCTGATACACTACACTCTTTTGGGAATTACTCTTGCATTTTTGAAAGCTAGTACGGTACCAAAGTTAACCATTCCATATTGTGGTCTTAGGCACTTACTATGACTTCCATCTGAATCCTACATCCAGAAGAGTCTTTGTTTCTTGGATGGGGACTCGTGGATTTCTTCAATTTCCGGTTCCTTGTTTTCAAAGATGTACTTTACGAGATCCTCCTTCTTCATCTTCTTCAGCCTCGATTCCAGAGACTTTGGTGCCATTCTTTTTGGCGGTTGCTTTGCTGTAGCTGCCTTTTTGATTGGGGTCTTCACCGGTGCCATAGGTTTGGCAACGGCTCTCTTGCGAACTGGTACAACTGACTGAACTGGTTCAACTTCCAGGTCATCATCCTCTTCAAGGGCCGAACCAGACGCCAATAGCTGAAGAACAGGATTCATGCTTTTTTTTTGATGTTTTTACGATCTTTTCGTGATGACTGTTTTTTGAAATTTCGTTGCGAAAACACAAAAGCACTTTTTGCGACGACTTTTATCGACGATTTTGCACTTGGACCGGGCCCTAAGTACAAAAATTAAGGAGGAAAGCCAAAAAGAAAACAATGGGAAACACCAGCAGCCTAACAGCCTGGAGGAAATAGGATCAAGACTACCAACCAAGAGCAACCCAGATGGAAGAATGGAAAAAGAACAAAACCTTACAGAGATCAGAGAAGAAATCATGACCAACTTCATTGAAAAACTGAGTATGAAAATTGAGGAAGAATGCCAGAAAGAAAACAAAGGGAAACAACAGCAACCCAACAGCCCTGAGGAAGTAGGGTCAAGATTACCAACCTGGAAGGAAAATTGGAAAAAGAGGATAACCTTACCCCGGAAGGAATCAGACAAAAGCTAGGAAAATGGTTCAGGAACTCGATGGGACCACCATGAACCCAGCACACAGAGGAAGAGGAAGGCACAATTAACATGAAGACAGATCAATTCACATTTGAACAGGTTGCAGGATATGGCCTAATACCGGAAGTAACACATGAATGAATCAAAAGATGTGGAGTCCAGAAGGCTGAAGGTATAAGGAGAATCATAATACAGACCTGGAAGGACTTTAGATACCAAGTAAAAGAAAAAGTTTGGAAGTACTGCAACGAAAGACAATTGAATTTGAACTTACATGTGGAATCACTGAATAGCAGAGTAGCATTTGGATACCTTGAAGTAAAACCCTATTTTGTAAAATATGCTGGTGTGCGCAACATCCATGTTCAAAGAATGTTTGCAACAGAGATCATTCAGGCCTGAATCTCAAAGTGATGTCCTGGATGACAGAGGTCATGATTCAAAGAACCTCCAAGTTGCTGCGTACTTTGAGATTGCACTGGGTTTTGTGCAACAGCGTATTTTAGAGAAGATCCAGGAAAGCTAGATTTATAAAGTGTGGATCACACAACCGAGCTTGATGAGCAGGGCCTCCTTAGCTCAGTTGGTCAGATCGCCTGCCTAGTATTTGTGCTGGATAGCAGGAAGTCAGCGGTTCAAATCCGCTAGGAGGCATCACTGCATCATCCTGCATGGTGTTATTTTGGTTCTGTTAGTTGCGCTGTTCAAACATCTATTCTCCCAAAAAGCATTATACTGAAGAGATGAAGCGCCCAATACTGGGATCGAACCAGTGACCTTGAGGTTAACAGCCCCACGCTACTGCCAAACTGAGCCAACTGGGCTTGCCGTTCCGCTATGCATTAGATGCTCCTGTCAACAGGATTATGACCAACAGGACGTTTTTGTCTGCTTGGATTTGTTGAGTCTCTTTTTGAAAAATCCCAGGAGTCAATGGGTGAAACCCTAGATTGAGAATTTACAAAGGACTAAGTCATTCAATCACAGCACCAGCAGTTATCGGCTTCATTTTTAGCCCAATTGTGGAGAGTTTACACAGCCATTGGTCAAACCCTAATTTGACAGAAATAAATGGAAAACAGACACATATTGTAAGACATGGCTGTCCTGGGATCACTAGCATTGTTTCTGACAACTGGAAAGAACTGGAAAAACAAACAGCTCTACTACACAAATTCCAGTTAAAAGAGCTGTGACTAAAACATGGATGGGGTGGGGTTTTCTGATATTCACCAGGATCAACAAGTTGGTGTCCCAGATCCTGTCCTGATGCTGGTTCCATAGAGGTTTATCATAATCGGTAGGTGACGCAGCACCGGACGATCACAGCCGCTAGATGTTGTATGGCTAAGAGGCAGCTTATGACTCTCAGGGGAAGGGGCGGTGGACGTCGCTCGCGCACGAGCTTACTTCCGCAGAAGCGACAAGGGTGAAGTATCGTGCACGCGCACACTTCTCCGCATGTTTGTCCCTTTTCCGGTGAAGGACATTTCCTCCTATTTATACCTTCAGAACTCTGAAACACGGGGGTGTTTCCTAAGAACTCTAAGGCCATGCTCCGCACGCCTACAGATTCCAACAAGGTTCTGCTCTGACTCAAACACCCCTGTAATATTTCAGGGGCGCCATGGAAGGTCAACTACTGGAGAGCAGTCTCAAAGTGTGTGACTCTGTGCACTCCTGCAGAAGTGACTAGGGAGTAACTGCAATGAAACATGGAAAAGTTTGTCCCAATTTCTAGCCAGAAGAAACTCTCAAAACCCATGACAGGTTCTGGAATACTAAGGCCACGCTCCAGGGCCACAGCCAGATTTATGCCAACTGAATGCTTGAAAACAAAACAGAGGACATTGGTATGAGCAACATTTCATTGTACTAACACAGAATCAACCACTCGTAAACAAGGCTAACCGATGATAGCTCAGTTGGCAGAGCATCTGACTGTAACATTTCAGTAATCAGGAGGCCCCCGGATCGACCCCGGGTCGTCGGATTTAACTTTGGTTTGAGTTAGTTTTCATGACCAGTCATTCTTTTATTTGACACACAACGGGACCTTGGTTATTTTTCTATGGCCTGTTTTGGAACTTTTTGCTGAAAAGCAAGGCTGCTTCCTATTGTTGAGGGTGGGCCTGGCTTGAGGATATCCATTTGCTGGTTGAAACATTCTCTGTTGAACATTCATGCCTTATGAAGCTCCTTGGGATAAAAACTTCTTGACTCCAAATGTGCTCAAAGGAACTGGATGATGTAAAGTATGAGACAAGGGGGTGTATTACAGGAACCCTCAATACTGTGCCAGCCCTGAAAAGCCTGTGTCCTCAGCACCCCAAATAAAAACCTAACGTGTGTTTTCGCCCGGGTTCGAACCGGGGACCACCAGTGTGTTAGACTGGTGTGATAACCAACTACACCACGAAAACTCATGCCTCTAGCTACTGTATGGAAATCACAAGCTGCTTGTCAGTTCACAGTGGCAAAGACACTGCTTGCAAGCGCAAACTTACTTCCGCAGAGTGACTAGGGTGAAGTATCATGGATGCCCACACTTTGCTGCAAGTCTGACTATTTCCACGTGAGGAAACTTCCTATATCCAGCAGGACACCTACAGGTTCAAACTATCAAAGTCTGCTAGGCACGCCTCATCTCTAAGTCAATTTAAGTATTGATGGTTGATACTAAAAGAGTATTTTATTCAATAATGAAACGTGAAACCACCACTATATATTCCAAACATCTAAAGCATGCGATCAATGAGTTATGGTTAGCAGGCAACGTTTATACCTTTGGAAGTGATTGTGCAAGGTCAAGTTACTATTTTATGTGATGTGCGTTGTTCAGAAGAATATAAGAATTACATTCCTGACACAGGTTCTCCTGACTTGTAGAAGGGAGTTAAAAAAAGAAGATCTATTTATCTTTCCGTCAATTTTTTGAAAGAGATGTTAACGCAGGGACAAGAATCTCATTCTCAGGATAAAAGCCATTCAGACACTCCTTGATTTCTAATCGCTGAGTAGTCTGATAGAAGTCATCATATTTGGAATCTAATGCATCTTTCACCGGGAATCTGATAGAAATAAAAGGAAGCTTTTTCCAACGGAAATTTTGCTATCTGACCTTGCACATCCGACACCAACCATACTGCTGGGATGCCTAAAGATTCAGGCCATACTGCCAGCAGAGTTTTGGTAGCTGTGAGATACATGTACATGCTATGCAGACTGAACAGACTTCTCAGCTGGACTTGAATCCCATTGAATTGTTTGCACTCTAGCTCAGCTCTTCTGTCTTGCTTCTCTTTTCCGAGTCTGAATGGCGTGATGCAACCAGATGCAAGGCAGACTCGAGCCAGACACAAGGCACATCAAACAGTGCCACAGCACTGATTGGAAAACAATTTTGCCAACAAAACTTCATCCATTCCTCGACTACGGCAGGATTTGAACCTGCGCTCCCAGAGGGAAGTAGATTTCTAGTCTACCGCCTTAACCGCTCGGCCACGTTGTCATGGGACTGCTTGCAGTTCCGCGTTACTCTTGTTCAAATAGGCATCCACAGTATTGCTGTTCTTTTTTGCCAGTGCGAGGCAATAAGGGTACACTTGCTAACTCCTTTATGACTAATGCACAGATTAGGTAGCAGCTTGCTAGACTAGTAGCCCTGTTGATGTTGACGTTGACATTTTCTATTGAGATATAGTTTCAACCACTTAAAGCTTCTTTTGTGACAATTCTTTTCTTTATCTTTACTTCTTGTTTGGAACTCTATGCATTGTGCTATTATTATTCACGTCTACACACATTGTTCTTAGTTTTTGGTTATTTGAAGCAGAAAATTGAAACTAGCTTCATGAGGGGTCTAGTTCCTTGAATCTTTCATAATTTAGAGTACTCCCATGGCTTTATATATCCTATGACATACAACCCCCAAGCACTGCTGTTATACCAATGACTAAGGTTTTGGTTTTGAGTGATTTAAGCCCTAGCCCTAACCCTAGCCCTAAACCCCTTACCCTAAAAAACATCCTTTGCATAGCTGCTGAAAACATCAAATCCAGTTGTATCTACTGCTATGGATACATCAGCAGCCAAGTATACTGATCTATTCCTCATTGGTGGGAACTAGGGGTTTTTGGGGAGCTGTGTTTTGAGTCAGCAGTTGATAGATGCCAATGTACAGAAAGCTGCACATGAAAATCACAGGACAAGGGCCACCTTAGCTCATCTGGGAGAGCGTAGCACTGAAGATGCTAAGGTAGTGTGTTCGATCCACACAGGTGGCAGATTGGATCTATACTGATGGTCCTGGCCCTGCCTGCTGTACAAGGAAGGTGTGGGGCTTGAGAGGCCATTGGGGGACATTTGGGCTGGTTCCATCTTGGCTTTTGCGAGCCACGCTGCAAGGTTTTGTAGTTTTGTCAAGAATGCCATTGTATTAGGCAGGTGTGAGTCGGTGCAATCAGCTCAAACTTGATATTACTGCCCTGCAAAAAGAGATTTGCAACTTTTCCACCAGTTATGAAACATTCCTTTTTGGTGGCATTTGATGTCCCCACCCTGAAACAAGAGTTCACTGATGTCCCTCCACGCACAATCACAAACAAGCAAGAAGCTCATTACCCCTGAAAGCCTGTAATGCATGAGCCACACTCTCTTGATGAGGACAGCTTCATGGTCACTAAGGATTAATAGTAGCATTTGGATACCTTGAAGTAAAACCCTATTTGGAAAAATATGCTGGTGTGCGCAACATCCATGTTCAAAGAATGTTTGCAACAGAGATCATTCAGGCCTGAATCTCAAAGTGATGTCCTGGATGACAGAGGTCATGATTCAAAGAACCTCCAAGTTGCTGCGTACTTTGAGATTGCGATTTTACAGTAAGATCCAGGAAACCTAGATTTATAAATGTGGATCACACAACCAAGTTGGATGAGCAGGGCCTCCTTAGCTCAGTTGGTTAGATCGCCTGCCTAGTATTTGTGCTGGATAGCAGGAAGTCAGCGGTTCAAATCCGCTAGGAGGCATCACGGCATCATGCTGTAGGGTATTATTTTGGTTCTGTTAGTTGCGCTGTTCAAACATCTATTCTCCCAAAAAGCATTATACTGAAGAGATAAAGCGCCCAATACTGGGATCGAACCAGTGACCTTGAGGTTAACAGCCCCACGCTACTGCCAAACTGAGCCAACTGGGCTTGCCATGGAGCTATGCATTAAATTCTACTGTCAGCAGGAATATGACCGACAGGACGTTTTTGTCTGCTTGGATTTGTTGAGTCTCTTTTTGAAAAATCCCAGGAATCAATGGGTGAAACCTTAGATTGAGAATTTACAAAGGACTAAGTCATTCAATCACAGCACCAGCAGTTATCAGCTTCATTTTAGCCCAATTGTGGAGAGTTTACACAGCCATTGGTCAAACCCTAATTTGACAGAAATAAATGGAAAACAGACACATATCGTAAGACATGGCTGTCCTGGGATCACTAGCATTGTTTCTGACAACTGGAAAGAACTGGAAAAACAAACAGCTCTACTACACAAATTCCAGTTAAAAGAGCTGTGACTAAAACATGGATGGGGTGGGGTTTTCTGCTATTCACCAGGATCAACAAGTTGGTGTCCCAGATCCTGTCCTGATGCTGGTTCCATAGAGGTTCTGCTCTGACTCAAACACCCCTGTAATATTTCAGGGGCACCATGGAAGGCCAACTACTGGAGAGCAGTCTCAAAGTGTGTGACTCTGTGCACTCCTGCAGAAGTGACTAGGGAGTAACTGCAATGAAACATGGAAAAGTTTGTCCCAATTTCTAGCCAGAAGAAACTCTCAAAACCCATGACAGGTTCTGGAATACTAAGGCCACGCTTCAGGGCCACAGCCAGATTTATGCCAACTGAATGCTTGAAAACAAAACAGAGGACATTGGTATGAGCAACATTTCATTGTACTAACACAGATTCAACCACTTGTGAACAATGCTAACCGATGATAGCTCAGTTGGCAGAGCATCTGACTGTAACATTTCAGTAATCAGGAGGCCCCCGGATCGACCCCGGGTCGTCGGATTTAACTATGGTTTGAGTTAGTTTTCATGACCAGTCATTCTTTTATTTGACACACAACGGGACCTTGGTTATTTTTCTATGGTCTGTTTTGGAACTTTTTGCTGAAAAGCAAGGCTGCTTCCTATTGTTGAGGGTGGGCCTGGCTTGAGGATATCCATTTGCTGGTTGAAACATTCTCTGTTGAACATTCATGCCTTATGAAGCTCCTTGGGGTAAAAACTTCTTGACTCCAAATGTGCTCAAAGGAAGTGGATGATGTAAAGTATGAGACAAGGGGGTGTATTACAGGAACCCTCAATACTGTGCCAGCCCTGAAAAGCCTGTGTCCTCAGCACCCCAAATAAAAACCTGAAGCGTGTTTTCGCCCGGGTTCGAACCGGGGACCACCAGTGTGTTAGACTGGTGTGATAACCAACTACACCACGAAAACCCATGTTTCTGGCAAGTGTATGGAAATTACCATCTTCTCGTCAGTTCACAGTGGCAAAGACACTGCTTGCGAGCGCAAACTTACTTCCGCAGAGTGACTAGGGTGAAGTATCATGGATGCCCACACTTTGCTGCAAGTCTGACTATTTCCACGTGAGGAAACTTCCAATATCTAGCAGGACACCTACAGGTTCTAACTATCAAAGTCTGCTAGGCACGCCTTATCTAAGTCAATTTAAGTATTGATGGTTGATACTAAAAGTGTATTTTATTCAATAATGAAACATGAAACCACCACTATATATTCCAAACATCTAAAGCATGCAATCAATAAGTTATGGTTAGCAGGCAACGGTTATACCTTTGGAAGTGATTGTGCAAGGTCAAGTTACTATTTTATGTGATGTGCGTTGTTCAGAAGAATAAAAGAATTGCATTCCTGACACAGGTTTTCCTGATAACCGGGAATCTGATAGAAATAAAAGGAAGCTTT